CTGGTCCTAGCAGTGGATGCACTCCTGGGGCCAGCAAGTCCCAACACTGTCAACCACACCCTCGGTGAGAAGGCCAGAGGCCTGGTACCCCCCCATGGCTCTGGAGGACTCAGAGAAGAGCACAGCCCAAGAGGCCCACTTCTCAGGCACCACATCGTCCTGACAATTGCCACCATTTAGTATGGCCCCAAGAGTCACAAATAAGACCCAACCCAAGAACAAAAATAACACCCTTGACAGACAACAACCTGGGGGAATATTTGCAACCTATCACAAAAGGGCTACTTGACATACAAAGAACTCCTGCAAATCAAGAACATTTCACAGCATTTACTAAACAGCAGGCATGGTTCCAAGCACCTAGCATACTCAAGTTGCCATCACAATCACTCAAGTTGTCTATGGATAAGAAAACTACCATGCCAGTCAGGTGCAGTGGCTCACGTCTGTCATCTCAGCACTTTGGGGGGCAGAGGTGAGAGGATTTCCTGAGCCCAGAGACCCGAGACCAGTCTGGGCAACTCGTCAAGACCTCATCTCTACAGTAAATCAAAAAAAATTAGTCAGGCATTGTGGCATGTACCTGAGGTTCCAGCTACTTGGAAGGCTGAGGCGAAAGGATCACCTGAGCCCAGCAGGACGAGCTGCAGTGGCCATGAGTGTGTCACTGCACTCCAGCCTGGGACAGACAGTGAGACTCCAACCAACACACACACACACACACAAAAAGAAAACTGCAATGCCAAGAGGCTACTCGCTCAAGGGCACACAAGGACATGATGCAGTCAGGACCCAGAAGGCAGACAGGGCGACAGTGCCACAGCACCACTCAGCCTCCATAAGAAAGGAACCTGAGCACGCGGGTTCGAGACCTGCCTAGGCAACTTGGTGAGACCTCATCTCTACAATAAATCAAAAGTTAGCCGGGCGTGGTAGCATGCGCCGGTAGTTCCAGCTACTCAGAAGGCTGAGGCGGAAGGATCGCCAGAGCCCAGCAGGTCCAGGCTGCGGTGGCCGGGAGCGGCTACTGCACTCCAGTCTGGGTGACAGAGTGAGAGTCCGACTCAAAAAAAAAGGAAAGAAAGGAACCAACAGGGGCCACTGTTGCTCACACCTGTAATCCCAGCACTTTAGGAGACCGAGGCAGAAGGACTGCTTGAGCCCAGAGTTCGAGACCAGCCTAGGAATTCGAGACCAGTCTAGGAATTATGGTGAGACTTCATCTCTACAAAAAAAATTTTAGCCGGGCTCGGTGGCTCAGCCTGTAATCCCATGCCTTTGGGAGGCTGAGGTGAGTGGATTGCCTGAGCCCACAGGTTCGAGACCCACCTGG